GCTATTTCTAATTGTGTACTGTACTTTCTATTTTTAAAACTGCGTGATTTGCGAGGAAACTGTTCCGATATCTCGTATTTCCAAGGACAATAACAATTGCCTGACAGTTGTCCTTTGTTTTTTGTCTGAATTTTGTGAATTAGGCCCGTCGTTAGATAAATGTTGTCTTTATTATCTATCCTGAATTTCCTTCCAACCCGGTTGGGCAAAGTACACTTTAAATAAAGTCTAGTGATTAACTGTTAAAATTTGTATCTGTTATTTTAAACATGTAAGTACTTCCATATGTTATGTAAACGTTTTGTTCTAAAACAGTGTCAGAAAAGCCCTGTTTATGAGCAAAATAAATAATTCAATAGTGTTTCTAAGTAATTCTAAGCTGAGTGTTTTAAAAATCGATCCATTTGGTCGGTTTCATCCATTCTTCAGTTTATGAATTTTGGAATTCTCAGCATGAAGTTTAACTGGAAATCTTTGGGAAGTGAAGCACAAAATAGCATACAATCGTACATCGTAAAATGCTAGCTGTATTATTGGTAAAGAGCTTTCAAACCGGGTCTTTTCGTTATATGCAGAGGCTATTATGCCACGAGAACACTACTGTTGATGACGTCACTCATCTGCTAGACACAACTGTTCATTAAAATCATGTAGATATTTTTGAAAATTTTAGTAGTTTTCGCGGAATATTGCGTGCACTATGTGCAATTTAAAGAATCACAAAAGCAATATATTTGCGAAAACTGTTCCAAAGTTTTTCTTTAAACTTTTGGTAGGGATATTGCTAAATGTATCCTATAAGATGACATAAACGCTATATTGCTCTATTTTGATTTTTTTCCCCAAAGAAAAAAAAGGAATTTTTTGACTTGTCTCTGGCCTCGTTAATATTTACAATAACGGCAATTTGTTCTCATTATTATATTTATATATAGTACATGTGTACATGTGCTTTAAATAATGTTATACGAAGTTTCTCAAAGACTCAACGGTTTTTTTGAAAAGTAGCTCCAAATCTCGCGTTTTCAGAAACGCTCAAACCCCATTTATTAAAATCGGCACCAAATTTTTTCTTCAAATTTTTCGAAAGTATAGTGCTAATTGCACTCTTTCATATGAGGTAACGTTAATTTTGGGGTATTTTTTGTTTTTTCAAAAATTATACATATGTATTTTTTTATCTCACGCCGGTAATACGCACATTTCCAAGAATTAGTAAATACTATTCTATTTGTGAGTTAATATGCTTAGAATGACTTTAAATGAAGGTTTTCGAAAACTCAAAACATTTCTGTGAAAAAGTGCTTCAAATTTCGAATTTACTGTAGCGTTTAAGCGCCATTTTCTTAAAAAGGCTCCAAAGTTTTTCAAGAAATTTGCTAGTTATTACTGTTATTGCTGTTTTTTAATATACTCAAAAAAAATTTCCGTTTTAGTATTATGAAACCGAAATATTAAGAAAATGTCACAAAATGGTACTTTTGGCAATAGATGGCAGCTGCCAAGAATATGTGGCAAGTTCGTATAGCAAGCCGAGACCAGGGAAAATAGAAAACTAATACGTGAAAGTCTGTGCCATTCTGTAGCACCACTAGTTAAACTTATTTCGGTTGTTTAATACTTTTTTCTTACTCTTCAGTAATCACCAATTTCGCTCCTCCGGTTCTGTCAATTCATATTATTGCGGCATATTAGGAGTGCCTGTTGAAATGTACGGATATCGATCTATAAGGAACATTTAGATAGTTAAGATTTGGTAGTATCTGCATAGTATCTATGAATATGACATGTATAACAATATTTATTGATATCCACGAATCGATGTCAATGTAAGTCAATTTGGTTTCAGATATAGAAGAATGTAGACGTAAAATAAAATTACGTAAACCTGAGATAAAAAATTAGATAGCACCACTAAATATGTATCCACCCATGCCTATGGTAGAGGCAACATAACATAGTTTAAGGCAATCGTTTTCTAAAAGGTGCAGTGGCACAAAGACATGTGCGCGGCAAAAGTGACCTCGTTTTACCTCATTAATTGATATCGACATGAAATATTGACCTACATTTTTACAAATTAACCGATCGATACCAAATACCTTCTCGATCAGTCGACCGAAGAGGATACGCGAAATCGGGGCCACCATGCCAGGCAAGTACCAGGGCTGACCAGGGCCCGGCAACTCCCCATCAAAACTGAGGACAAACCTAGAAGTTACAGCTGCTGATAAGGCTCGCCAACGTTCCCACATAAAAATTGATCAAGAAATACAAATACACTTTGATTATGAGCGATTTCTGAACTAAATTACAAAGAAGTTAAATACTATGTGTTTATCTTCTAAAATTCATTTATTCGCAATAATACATTCGTGAAAGAAAAGGTAGCGCGAACAGCGGTGCGATCTTTTGCATCAAGCGCGTGTGTTCGCGTCCCGAGAACCCGCTCACGTTTTAAATAACGTTGGTAGCAGTTCGTATTTTGGTTCGAGTAAGAAGGTGACGCTCTAGAGCGCGCCACTGTAATGGTCCCCCACCACGTTATATTGGAGTTATAGCCAGGGCTCTAGTACTGACCGCACGAAGGCGAAGACGCGGTCGGAGACGACGTGTGTGGAGAGGCGGCCCTTGCGCAGCACGGGCGCGCGCCGCGCGGCCACCAGGCGCCGGAACACCTGCAGGTGGCTGTCCTCGTCCTCCAGCTGCGCCGCCGCGTTCACCTCCTCGTAGTTGTCCGCCACCGGCAGCCACGTGCTCTCGTTGCTGGAGAAGCCTGCGCGAGGAACAGAAACGCCACGAGATGAAGGATGGAGTACTTTGATTCCGGTCGCATCAACTGGCACAAAAAGTGTCCCGTAAATGTAGTACATGATGTATCACTGCCGATGGCGATGTTCCTCGCCCGCTTGAAGATGATCAAGCATCGAATTCAGGCATCGACCAGATATCGACGTGCAACTGGGCTAGTAAGAATTTTCTCTCAGAGTATTTCCACCTGTAGGTAGAACCGCCGCAGCTGGGACAAACTCTAAGTTTCTTTCTGGTATCAGGACGTATGTGGTTGTGCAGCTCGCCAGCTCGCATATCTGTGTGGGTGTGTGTGAAAACAAAAATAATTATACAATGGAATTTATTTAGAATGAAAAAATCGTGCGGTGTCCGTTGTCACTATGCTATGGAACTATGTCAGGTGTCGCCTAATATTTATCAAAGAAACTACCACAAGCTATCTACCTGTGCGTTAGAGGTTCAGTGTGTCCTACAAGCGGTCACACTTGCACTGGTGGAGTTGTCCCAAAGGAAGGGCATGCGCTAGGAGTGATCCTTTTGCCGAGCGTACCTGAGGCGACAAAGTAGTCCCAGTGGAAGGGCATGTGCAAGGAGAGGTGATTTTGCCAAGCGGACCTGCGCTGACAAAGAAGTCCCAGTGGAAGGGCATGCGCTGGAAGAGGCCATTTCGCCGAGCGTACCTGCGCTGGTGGAGTTATCCCAGTGGGAGGGCGTGCGCAGGAAGTAGTAATTCTGCCGAGCGTACCTGCGCTGGTGGAGTTGTCCCAGTGGAAACACATGGTAATTTTCCTAACCTGCGCTGGTGGAGTTGTCCCAGTGGAAGGGCATGCGCTGGAAGTGTTCATTTTGCCAAGCGCTGACAAAGATGTCCCAGTGGAAGGGCGTGCGCTGGAAGTGGAAATTCTGCCGAGCGTACCTGTGCAGGTGGAGTTGTCCCAGTGGAAGGACGTGCGCTAGGAGTGGTTATTTCGCCGAGCGTACCTGCGCTGGTGGAGTTGTCCCAGTGGAAGGGCGTGCGCTGGGAGTGGTCATTTTTGCCAAGAGTATCTGCGCTGGTGAGTTGCCCAGTGGAAGGGCGTGCGCTGGGATGGTCATTTTGCCAGAGTACCTGCGCTTGGTGGGAGTTTCCCAGTGGAAGGTCGTTGGTTGGAAGGTGGCCATTTTCGCCGAGCGTACCTGCGGCTGGTGAAGATTGTCCCAGTGGAAGGGCCGTGCGCTGGGAGTGCGTCATTTTGCCAAGAGGACCTGCCCCCCCCCGCTGGTGCCTGCTCACGGGCGCTCGTGCTGATGCGTGCCTGTTTCTGCGGCTGGGCTTTTGCTGTGGTTTTGAGTTCGCTTGGTGGAGTTTTTACAGTTGGCGAAAAACATGGGTAATTTTCCCAACCTTGCGCTGGTGGAGTTGTTCCCAGTGGAAGGGCGTTGCGCTGGGATGGTCATTTTTGCCGAAGGAGTATCTGCGCTGGTGGAGTATGTCCCAGTGGAAGGGCCAGTGCGCTGGAGAGTGACCATTTTCGCCGCGACCTGTCCGCTGTGATGGAGTTGTCCCAGTGAAACGGGCGTGCGCTGGGAGTGCCGTCATTTGCCAAGAGTACCCTGCGTTGGTGGAGCTTGCTCCAGTGGAAGGTCTGCGTGGAAGTGCGGCCATTTCGCCGGGTTACCTGCAGGCCTGGTGAAGTTTGTCCCATGGACAAGGGCGTGCGCTGGGAGTGGTCATTTTGCCAAAGAGCAGTACCTGCCGCGGTGGAGTTGTTACAGTGTGGAAAAACATTGGGTAATTTTGCCCCAACCTGCGCTGGTGGAGTTGTCCCAGTGGAAGGGCGTGCCGCTGGGAGTGGTCATTTTGCCAGAGTATCTGCCGCTGGTGGAGTTGTCCCAGTGGAAGGCGTGCGTGGGAGTGGTCATTTTGCCAAGAGTAAACGTCGCTGGTGGAGTGTTTCCCAGTGGAGGTCGGTGCGTGCGAGTGGCCATTTCCGCCGCAGACGTACCTTGCGCTGGTGGAGTTGCTCCCAGTGAAAGGGCGTGCGCTGGGTAGTGGTTCATGTTGCCAAAGAGTACCTGCGTTGGTGGAGTTGTCCCAGGTGGAAGGTCGTGCGTTGGAAGTGGCCATTTTCGCCGAGCGTAACCTGCGCTGTGAAGTTTGTCCCAGTGATAAGGGCGTGGCTGGGAGTGGTCGATTTGCCAAAGAGTACCTGCGCTGGGGGAGTTGGTTACAGTGGAAAACATGGTAATTTTCCCAACCGCGTGGCTGGAGTTGTCCAGTGGAAAGGGCGTGCGCTGGGGTTGGTCATTTTGCCAAGAGTACTGCGCTGGTGAGTTGTCCCAGTTGGAAGGGAGTGCGCTGGAGTGTCATTTGCCAGAGTTACCTGCGCTGGTGGGAGTTTCCCAGTGGTAAGGGCCTGTGGCGCTCGGGGTCGCCGCGACTCCGTCTCGTATACCGGGTGCGGGCCCAGCGCGCAGCTCTGCGGTCCGCAGGTCCACCGTTTCTCGAACGACAGCTCGCGTCCTCCATGGCCAGCTCGTCGGCCCGTGAGTACGTGAAGCCGTGCCCGGCAGCACCAGCGCCAGCAGCCTGTTGAGCGTCTGTCCACCATCTCGCCCGTGGCCGAGGCGCTGACGCCGCCGCGGCTGGTCGTGCGTGCCCACCTGCCGACCGTATCAATCGCCACAGTCAAGAGGGCGAGCGCCGCCGGAAACTATAGTGAGGGCATGTGGTTCCGTAACGGTAGCGACGTGTTATCAGACGGAGCCGATAAAAATTAAAAAAAATAACATTGAATTTTCCCCCATAATTTTGAAAATTCTTCGTAATGAAAATAGATAAAGAAATTGCAATGTTAGACGTTCTAAGAAGAAATGGAACCGATGCTCAAACTTTGTAATGACCCCTCATATCTCTCTGGGTGCTCTGGAACATCTCCAATCAATACTACACGGCAGGGAATTCCTCTTCCTTTTGGGCGGAAGAAGAGAGAACACAGTTTAAAGACTGATCCGCTCCCTAAGCTGTGAAACGAATCCTCAACCCACTACTACACTAGGCGTGGTCATGGAATTCACTATCGATACTTCAATTTTTATATTTATTATAAAATGTATATTTTTATATGGTAAGCCCATTTCTGAGCCAACGCGCCCCGTTGAGAAGGACGTTCGCAAATCAATTGAATATATTGATTTTATAAGGCAGGAGCTGTAAAAATGACATTACGTCGTCGGCCACTACAGAAAAATCGAGATATAGTCGCTTAGCTCTTTATTATCTACTAGATGAAATCACGAGTACATTAGGTACTTCGTGGATCAATATCTTTTTGAAAGTGAATTGCCGCATATTGGTACCCAACCTTCGTATATTTTTGACAACCCATTCTAAAAAGTGGGATATCATCCAAAATTGTAATAGAACATCCAAGTTGTAAACTACAGAACAAGAAACACAACTCGAGTTCTCTACGCGGTACGAAAACCCGACTTTAAGCGCTTAAACTGCATCGTTCAGAGATGCGACGATAAAGTGTGTTGCAACGTAACACGTACTGTGAGTTGCATGAGCGTCATCATTTTCTCCTGTGCCTTAATCTGCGAATTTCCGAATCTGCGAAAGTATTTCGTCTTAAATCTGTTTGATTTAGGAAATGAAGAAGCTAATTCAATCTGCAGAAGTACAGAACACTTACGGGTTTTGTGTCGATGAATTAATGTGAATGGTATAAAATCGTCTCCATGCCCTAGCGTATTGTATATAGGATACAGAGGATTAATATTGGAAGTCCTCGAAAGGGGGGGGGTCTTAAGCACGCTTACTTTCCAGTTACCGCATTTTAAGACTATAAGACGCACCTTTTTACTTCTAAAAATTGCCTCCAACATTTAGGCGCGTCTTATACTCGAAATTAATATAAAAATGTCCAGTATTCGATTCAAAATTCCCGCGAGATTTAAAAATGGCCATAGATTTGATTCCGCGGGAAACCTGTTCCTGTTTGGCAACATTGGATTCAAATGGCAGCAGCAGTGCACGGATGCGATGAACATTACTTGCGGGGATTCACAAGCTTGCTAACATTATCTCCCTCCCTCCTCGCCATCAGAAACTCAGAACACTGTCTAGCATACGATGCGTCATTACAGTCTACGGCGCCAGAGGTAACAGTACAATATTTTTGTTAGCTCGTTTCGTAATGGAAAAAATAAAAGGTATTCACATGATGGAGGCTTTAAAGTGATGTAAAATAATTTGTTAATGCTTAAAAACTAAGGCGCGTCTTGTAGTCCGTAAAATATGGTATGCATAAACGGCGGCGGCGATTACCGGCGGTAATGGTGAAACGGTTAGCGTATCGGACTGTTATACCCAAGTACGCGGTTTCATACCCGATCGAAGGGTTTTCGCCCTATTTAAAGGCGAAAAAATCCTTCGTATGTCTTTCTTCGGGGGGGGGGTAGTAAAGCCGGTTGTCCCATGTTAGTAGATTTACTTGCATGTAAAAGATCATCAAGCCTAAATGACGCCTCTGAGCTAAATTCAAATCGCCTGTTTCGTCGCCCGAGTGATACCCCCTTTCTAGCTAGTGGGTTGTAGGAAATTTGCGTGGTATGACGGAAGAGCGGACCCGATGGCCCGAGTCTCGCGAAGTAAAAAATACTATAATTCAATTCATTTCGATTCGATTCAATTCAATTCAACCCGTCATGTATAGCAATTCCACATGGTTCGTGCGCTCGCTTACCAGCCAGTTGGGCCAGGCGCCCTCGGGCAGCCCCAGCATCCAGTCCTCGATGGTGTCGTTGAGGCGGTGCGCGCGGGTGTCGTTGTTCATCTCGGTGAGCAGCAGCGCGTTGACCGCCAGGTGCGCCAGCGGCGAGTCAGCCGTCCCGTAGTAGTCGAAGAGCGCGTCCAGTGACGAGTACACCTCCGTGAACAGCACCCTGCGCATGCGTCACACGCGCCCCAGCATTTTACTTTTTCCACTCCAATTGTATAGTTCTGTCATTTGATGGCTGCAACAAGGTTGCAGAATGATACTCGTTACGATACAGATTTCAAAATGATACAGGTTCTTGACCAATGACAGAGAAGTTTACATATCATGTATTGACACCTAATTAAACTAGTAGAGTCTGAGAATCTATCTAGTAAATGTTTCGTTCAGTTGTTCAGAGAAGTTTCCGTTCAGTTTTTTGTTTCAGTTTTTCGTTTCAGAGTTTCGTTCAGTTTTGTTCAGAGAAGTTTACAAATCAAGTATTGACACCTAAATAAACTAGTAGAGTTTATTGCGTTTAATATTATGCTTGTCAGTTTTCATTTCTTTTATTGGCTGCAACCAGTTGCATAATGATACTCGTTACGATACAGATTTCAAAATGATACACGTTCTTGACCAATCACAGAGAAGTTTACAAAGCAAGTATTGACAATTAAACTCTGAGAATCTATCTAGTAAATGTTTTGTTCAATTGTGGACATTCAAATTGCGTTTAATATTATGCTGGTCAGTTTTAATTTCTTTTATTGGCTGCAACCAGTTGCATAATGATTCTCGTTACGATACAGATTTCAAAATGATACAAGTTCTTCACCAATCACAGAGAAGTTTACAAAGCAAATATTGACAATCAAACAACTGAGAATGTATCTAGTAAATGTTTCGTTCAATTGTGTACATTAAAATTGCATTTAATATTATATTATGCTTGCAGTTTTAATTTCTTTTATTATTCATATTATTTCGTGCAAAACTATTTAAAATAAATTGGATTGTAATTTCACTTGGATCCTATTTAACTAGAGCAGTACTCTCTGGCAGGCGGACTGGTAACCAAAGCCACCTGCGGCAAAGTACGGTAGCGTTAGGGATGTATATGATCCAATGTAACGATCCAGTATGTCCATATGTCCTGTATAACGATTCAATGTAAACGTTACCATCAGAAACTCTATGTAATGGATATTAGTACTTTCGTGTGAAGTTTATGATACTTGTGTGTTAATACCATCATTACATCACCGTTTCATAATGTACTATTAATAATCAATGTCAAAGCTGTATGTATCGTTTGTGAGATAGTTCATTAATATTGAGTCCGTGAAATTATTATTCTTTGCATGATCGAGATCAAGGATCCGCGGGAAAACGCAGGAATCTGAAAGGACCTGACGAACGTCGAAGGAGGTTAACGAAATTTGAAAGGAACAGATTGAGGTTGAAAGGTTTTGAAAGGGCCTAAACGGGGAGGGGGTAAGGAAGTTGGTTTGCAAAGGCGGTTGAAGGAATCGGAAAGATCATGAGTAGGCCCTAAGGCCACTAAAGGGATTTAAAAAACCTCAAGGAGACAAAAAAAGTAAAAAAGGAAGCTTACTGGCTCTGAAAGGGCTGGAAGGGGACCAAAGGTGGTTGAAGGGATGTGAGAGCTGAAGGAGACTGAGAGGATTTGAATGAGACAAATGAGGACGAGAGACTCTGAAAGGGTTGAAAGTTGACAAAGGAGACACACGAGGTCTAAAAATCTCCGAAAATCCGAAGGGAGCAAAACGCTACAAGGGGTCAAATGAGACTTACAGGATCTGAAAAGGCTTGAAGGGGACCCCAGGTGGTTGAACAGATGTGAAAGGGCCAGCTGAAAACTGAAGGAAACCGAGGGCATTTGAACGGGTCAAATGAGGGGTTCTAAGGGCTGAGAGTAGTCAAAAGAAAACTAATGATGTCTAAAAATCTCCGAAAGAACCCGAAGGAAAAGACTACCGTATGTCTTCCGACATAGGGATCTGAAAGGGCTTGACGGGGACCCAAAGGTGGTGAAAGGATCTGCTGAGAGCTAAAGAAGACTGACGGATATGAAAGGGTCAAAACCATTCAAAGGGGTCTTACGGGGTTTGAAGGGGGCCGAAGGGTGCCAAAGGAAGCAAGAGAATGCCAGGGGTCAAAGAAGACTTACGGGACCCGAAAGAGCTTGAAGGGAACCAAAGGCGGTGGAAGGGCCTGCTGAGAGCTGAAGGAGACTGACGGATTTGAAGGGGCCAAATCCACCCAAAGGGGTGTTACGGGGTCTGAGCGGGGCCGAAGGGGGCCGAAGGGTGCCAAAGGAAGCAAGAGAATGCAAGGGGTCAAAGAAGACTTACGGGATCCGAAAGGGCTTGAAGGGAACCTAAGGCGGTGAAAGGGCCTGCTGAAAGCTGAAGGAGACTTGCGGATTCGAAAGGGCCAAAGCCATCCTAAGGGGGCCGAAGGGGGCCGAAGGGCTGTTACCTGGTGACGCCGTCCTCGCGCGAGTGCTCGTCGAGCAGCTGCCGCCAGCCGTGCACGAGCTGGAAGTTCTCGAGCTGGTCGCGCGTGTGGTCGTGCTCCAGGAAGTCGTAGTCGGAGTCGCCGGCCTCGTCGTCGTCGGAGCGCGACTCGTCGTCCCACTCGTCGTCCTCCACCAGGTAGGACACGCTGTCCATGTGGAAGCCCGCCACGCCCTTCTCCAGCCAGAACTCCAGCGCCTCCTGCGACACCGACACGACATCAACGCGGGGGACTTTCATTGATTCCTGGCACGCAAAATAGTCATTGATCCCGTAAGTGTAGTGCATGTGTTTTCCTTGGGAAAGACCGAGGAAAATACATTCACTACCCTGATGATCTCCCGACCGGATGGTGAGATTCGGCGGCGACATACAAGTCGACCATTGGGGTTTTCTCCAACCAGGTATCTCCCCCCTGCTGGGAACCGCCCCAGACGGGTCAGTCTCTAAGCGCCCGAATGGTCTATCTTGACAAATGTGGTTGTGTAGTGCATATTAGTTTAGAAGTGTATAAGTAAGGGGTGAGAATTAGACGAGGAGGAGGAAGGAAAGGTCGGGAGCGGTGCGTGGCCCTTTTATTAGGGTACCGCTTCGACATTCGCATGGTGTTTATCGGAGAAATCACGAAACAATGCCAGTCAGAGCGGCCAGCTGCTAGAATTCTTATACAGAGGGCAGGTGAATTCAAATTAGCTATCTAAAATCCTGGCCCCGTCGGGAATTGAATCCTAGGAACACTGCTTTTTGACTGAGGGCGAATGTAATCTCTACATGCTCTAAAAGTTTGTAACATTTATTATGAGACACTCTGTATAACGAATCTTGGTAAAAATATGAGAAATCTGAATTAATAACCTCATAGTTTGTTAACAACCTCTACACCTATCGAGGAAAGTTTCGGCAACTCACAAGCTCAAAAAGGGTTATAAAGTGATGTTAGAAAATACATGTCTAATTGTTAATGAATAACTTACAATAATTGTTAGATGTGTAATAATAATAATAATAATAATAATAATAATAATAATAATAATAATAATAATAATGTGCTTTTGTTTGATTTCATGATGATAATTTCAGGTACAATATTTGTTTTACTTCTTTCCTGAAAAAAATTGTTTTTGAGTGTTGTCGTCTGTACTTTGTACGCATTTCATGGAGTACAAAGGTCGATAGGCCTGTGGCTTACCTTGATCTCCTTGTCGACGTGCGGGTTGCGGAAGTTGAGGTCCGGCTGGCCGACGCCGAACTGGTGCAGGTAGAACTGTTGGCGCTTCTCGCTCCAGTCCCACGCCGAGCCCCCGTACACGCTCAGCTGCGCGCGCAGGCAACCAACGCAGTCGGCATATTAACACTTATATTAAGAATATTAAGAGCACAAAATATGGTTCAAGAGAGTAAAATAGGATTTTAATCATGCTTGAGAAAGTTGAGACCTCAAAGTGACGCCAGCATTCGAGAGGGCTATTTCGGAAGGGAACAATTTTCCAAGTAATGTTTCTTTGTTTTATTGCAATTGCAAATAAATTAACTCATTGCGATGTACATAAATAAAATCTTATTTTGGTGGGTATCCCTGGGCGTGGCTTACTTGAGAACTATTATACTTATACTATCTCATACACCATAAGAAATATTATACTGTTTAAGTACGAGATTTTTACCAATAGTATTATAATGATCATGTGTCTCTTAAGCCGCAGGAAGCAACTTTAATTTCAACGAGTGTTAATGTAACATTTTATTAATTCTGCTCTGAAGATAGTAAGTACTCTGAAGCGCCGCATCCTAGGCACAGGAGACGTCTCGGTCGCCATTCTGCGACATTCCTTCGTGAGAAACGCACGGGTTTATATAAAACGAACCTCGTGCGACATAAACGAATATTATTCTTTATAAAACCTGTAAGAAGCCCATATCTGCGCCTTTCGCCGTGAGGAAGGTCGCAGAATGGCGGCCAAAACGTTAGCACTTGTGCCTAGGAAGCGTCGTCTCCCCAAGTACACTGCACCAGGAAAGTCCCTCCGCATCGAGTCGAGTCAGGACTTCCTATTAAATATTTCATTTATATGGGTATCAAGTAGATTACTGGGAAATAAATGAAGGGAGCAACATTTCAAGCATCTGTTAGGATTGATGTGAGAGCGCGATTTACGTTTTCTTTTGTTCATAGCTGCAGCTCGCGCTTCCAATATGATTTCTGTTGCTAGCACTCTCACCAGCAAGGTGCCACTGCGGAGAAACTTCGCCGGCGCTCGTTAATCGTTGCTACGCTATTATTTCACTTATTCTATTCACGTGAAAAGTGCCGGCGCTAGGCACGGGCAGAGCAAGCGATCGCCCGGGACCCCGTAAGACAAGGGGTACGATGATGGGACTGATGGGGAAAAATAGTAAAAAGAAATGAAAAAGATATAAAAACTCGAGAAAATCGTTGTCGTAAGTCCCGGTTCAGTAGTCTGATATTTCATAAAATTTTCAATTAATTTTTTCCCTTTTAATAGTTAATTACAGTCGTTACTTATATGGTAAAATATATCGAATGAATCAAATGACGTCAAATGACGCTATCTTTAAAAGAGATTCTACTGAAATTATTATTTATTATTTCATGTATATAACAAGGAATTTTATTAAACACTTATTAAATAAAACACATTTTTAAGCGTTTTAAGCTCACTGTGGAAACTATATTATTTATAGCACTAAATACCTTTACCTAAAACTATTATTTAAAATATATTCCTAAAAACGTTTTTTGTTATTATTTGTTTTTTTTTATTTTTGTTACTTCCACATTTTTAATTGGGGATGGGGAGAGGGCTATGCCTGAGGATTGCCCCGGGCCCAAAAGCGTCTAGCTGGGGGACTTGCGCTTAAAGAATCAGGGAGTGGCCGGCCGGCCAAGGTGGCGCTGCCTCACCCAGTTGTTGGGCGGCGCGGGGAAGCCGCCGGCGGGCCGCTCGCCCTTGCCGTCGTGCCACACGTAGTAGTCGGCGTAGGGCTCCTCGCGCGCCTCCGACCTCTCGAACCACTCGTGCTCGTCGCTCGTGTGGTTGGGCACGAAGTCCAGCACCACCTTGATGCCTGCGAGCGCACCCACCCCAATGGAACCATTTCAGTAACAGAAATGTAATAACACAATCATTACATTACATTGCATACAGAGAAAAACTATTACTGGAACCTCTTTAGCTTAAATGCCCTCTTATCTTGGATTTATTCAGTTATCAACATATTTCCTTCCCATGACGTGAAAAATGAAATAATGTGACATCTCGAAATTTTTCGTTTCGGATTTAATGCCTTGGAGTGTTACAGTAGTACAATGGAACATCTATCTTAAATAATAATACGATACATGAAATAACGTGGCAACTTGAAATATTTCGTTGCAATTCGATGTATTGGAGTTTTAGAACAGTACAATGGAACATCCATCTTAAATAATATTAAGAAAATAGTTTACTCACATTTCGATATAATGACGTTTGATTTGGCGTCTTTTAGACGTTTACAAAGGTTACAAGCAAGCGTAGAAAATTCGAGCAAATGAAAAATTCGAGGAAAATGCAATTGTAACAGTAATTGTAATAATAATAATAATAATAATAATAATAATAATAGCAACTATCATAATGGTAACGATAATAATATTAATGCAAATTTTGTCAGGGTCCTTGTTGAACTGATATGAGTTAATTCATTAGTGACAATATTTTTTTTGAGGATATGTATATTTCAGCCGATTTGACCGTTTGTATAAAATATAAAACTCACGATAAAAATAATTCCAACTTTTTGAATGAAATATTTTCTAGAAAAACTTATGGCTGCGCTAGAACGTAACGTGCTAATACAGAAAATAATTGGAAAGAACGTTTTTACTTTGTCACACGATCTACGCTAGGTTAATATAGTTTTATGGGTTAAAAATTATTCTGAATGAAAAAAAACATCTGAATAGAAATATCAATATGGGTTTGGACAAATTTGTCTTCAGAAATGTTCTACATCCAATCGTTTCAGAGTTGAATAAACTCTTTGCTAGGTCAATGATCCGAGAAAAGTAACAAGAATTCCCACATCCGTCAATTTCGTTTACTTGTTGTAACTAGAAAAGTAAAGAGCAAATCATAAAAATCTGATTTCAACCAAACCAAGAAGTTCACGAGGACTTGAAGTTTGAGCTTCAGACTCTTTATTTCATTAACGATTAGAATCTTAAAGAGTTGCATATTCCTTTTTACATATTCCTTTGGATCGGAATATCTTGTATCTCCAAAAATGTTTAATTTTTCACTACTTCATCATTACACAGTATAGTTTGAAATCAATATTTAAAAATATTGTTTGATGTCCATATTAACAACTGTGCTTATATCATTTTTAGTAATAATTTAATGAAAAAAATTGTACATTTTGTCCATGACACATTGCCCAAAGACTCGGGAGAACCTCTAGAACATGTGATCATCTGCAAATGAAAGCGGCGGAACATAACAGTGGACCCTGGCCGAAGGGTAAAAAATGAAACCTTTCACGGTGATAGGGCCTACAAAAGAAAATAACCACTCTGGACTTTTCATTAGCTGGTTCATTAAGGATGTAGCTGTTATTGAGGATATCCAGCGGAAAATGTTTCTGAGGGCTACATAGGACCCGAAAAAACGACTGTTTTGGTCCTTGCTGCGACGATACGATGGCATTACTCACTAGAATAATTACACACATTTAAAGAAAAAATGGAGAATAATTACCAAGTTCTTTAGTTTTCTCTATCAGCTCCTCGAAATCTTCCATAGTTCCAAACTCTGGGTTGATCTCCTCGTAGTCCTCTACATCGTAGCCGAAGTCCTCCATAGGGGATTTGAAGATTGGTCCCAGGCGAATAGCGCCTATGCCCAGCTCCTTCAAATAATCCAGCTTCTCAATAATACCTAAAGCAATCACGAACTGATGAGATTTATGCCAATGTAATAACAAGCGCAAATCGAACAAACCTAATAGCAACATTCTTTGTGAATATTGTGATGGAAGGCACCCAAAAAATATTTTAAGATGTGTCAAAATATTAATTGCAAAAGGAAAGTCATCATTCTCATTAATATTTCGATGTGATAAAGTCGGGAAAACAATATCTTACATTTCTGAGGTCAGATGATAACTGGGACGGGCATCTTAAAGTAGGAATTAGAAGTAAAAAATTGTCTTTGAGGAAAAGAGAAAACTCCATATCCTGTTATGAGTGTGTTCAACAAACCACAAAAGACCAAAATAAGTGCACAAAGTATAACGAAAACAGAGATATTCTGCTTTAAAACATTCAAAGAGCAAATACCAAAATAAAAATAGGAAACTAATATTGGATAACATTTTTTGTAAAGCCAGTATACATTAACAAGGAAAAAAGAGGGCCAAAACTCGGGTAGAGTGATGATGGATACGAGGATATCAGGACATCGGATATTGTGTTTGTGCAGAATAGAACATATTAGAAGGCCATTGTTGAAAAATGCAATATATTGAAGATTGTGTACCCTCTCCGAAAGATAAAGTGTTTCATCGAGAGGAATAAAGGCCAACCAGAGGCCGTAACTTGCCTCTGATGTCGCCCATGCCGTCCCCGTCGGAGTCCTTGAAGGACGCCGGGAAGATCTGGTAGACGACGGCCTTCTGCCACCAGTCCAACGGCGGGTCCAGCGCCGCTTCGACGTCCTCCTTGGAGTCGTCATTGTCATCGTCGTCGCCGTCGTCATCGTCGTCGTCAGCGGCGGCGGCGGCGGCGGCGCGGGCCGTGCGGGCGTG